GGAGGTGGCCGAGAGCTCTGCGGTGAAACGGAGCCCAGAAGTAGGGGTGCTTGGGCAGCTGGTGGAGGGAGAAGAATGCGGCAGTGTTAGGGTCTTGGTAGAGAGGGAGACAGGTCCCTGGTCATACAGAGCCAGGACCCTGGGAAAAGGTCTAGCAAGGGGAATCTCAGCCTAGGATGAGAGGAACTTGGCAACTAGGGGCAGAGTCAGGGTAGGGGGGAGGAGTCTGAGGGTGGGACCAGGATGCAAAGGGGAGGGGCCTGGGAGCCCTAGAGGGGTGCCGGTCAGATCCCAGGAGACTAGTGTTCCTGGGGGTTTGTGTGGCTTGGGGGGAGGGGAGACTTTGATAGGAGTTGTCCGGGACCCCAGGGAGGTGAGGGCTCAGAGGGTGGTGAGGGCACATAGTAGGGGAGTGGAAGCCTGGATCTCAGGCCTAGGCCCCTATCCTGTCCCAGGTCAGGTCCAGACCCTGGACCCCGCCTAGCGTAGGCTGGTGTGTATCCCTAGAACCAGAAGAGAGTAGGTGGGCTCTGGAGGCCTCCCAGGACCCCTCTAGACTCTGTGATCCCCACGCCCCAGGACATGCGTGGGCGCTATGAGGCAAGCCAGGACCTGCTGGGCACCCTGCGGAAGCAGCTTAGCGACAGTGAGAGTGAACGGCGGGCCCTAGAGGAACAGCTGCAGCGCCTGCGGGACAAGACCGATGGCGCCATGCAGGCCCAGGAGGACGCCCAGCGCGAGGTGCAGCGGCTGCGGAGTGCCAACGAGCTCCTGAGCAGGTGCGGGGGAGGTCTGAGCTGGGGGCTGCTGAAGAATAAATAAACATCTGGGCATAACACCAGTCGAGCCTTATGCGCTAATATTGTCGCCAGTAGCTACATGTGCCTATTAATATTTATTTATTTGTTTATTTATTTATTTTTGAGACGGAGTCTCGCTCTGTCGCCCAGGCTGGAGTGCAGTGGCGCGATCTTGGCTCACTGCAAGCTCCGTCTCCCGGGTTCATGCCATTCTCCTGCTTCAGCCTCCTGAGTAGCTGGGACTACAGGTGCCCGCTGCCACGCCAGGCTGTTTTTTTTGAGACGGAGTTTCACTGTGTGGCCTAGGCTGGAGTGCAGTGGCGCGATCTTGGCTCACTGCATCCTCCGCAGCCGAGGTTTGAGCAGTTCTCACCTCAGACTCCCGAGTAGCTGGGATTACAGGGGCCCACTACCACGCCGGGCTGATTTTTTTTGTATTTTTAGTAGAGATGGGGTTTCACCATCTTGGCCAGGCTGATCTTGAACTCCTGACCTGGTGATCCACCCACCTCGGTTTCCCAAAGTGCTGGGATTACAGGCATGAGCCACCGCGCCTGGCCAACATTTATTTTTATTTATTTATTTTTTATTTTTTATTTTTTGAGATGG